CTTAGTTCAGTTTTCGTATTTTGTTTACGTTTCATTTGAATTGCTTTTGCTTTTTTGTAGCTTTGCCACAAAAGAACGGCCTCAAAAATGTTATTGGCACGAGTTGGCTGAGTTGGTTAAATGGGGCGTGACGTCAATACGTTACGTAACGTAATGCTGTTACGTTTGATGTTAACGGAAAAGTTCGTCATCACGATAGGTATTCTACGTCATTTTTATATTCAATTTTTCGTCTACAAGTTACGCGTATACGTTACGTGTTACGTTTTGTGTTACGTTACGTAAGTGATGTTTTTCTTGTCGCGGTCACACATTTATTTTCGTGTTTTTCTTTCGTCGCGTTAAGTCTGTTGCGTGATGCTTCTGTTACTTCCTTCGATTATTTGGCGTTACGTTATACGTTAACGTGTTTTATGTGACGTATGCGCTGTTGACTAGTTGCTCTGGCCTAAGTATGTTTGCATGTGGTGTTTCGTGTAGTACATTTGTGTCTATGCGAAGAATCCAATTGTTTTCTTTCGTTTTTTTGTTTTTGTTTAATGTCCAGTGCCACGCCAAATGGCCGACCAACCCAGCCGCCTTTACCATTGGCTAAACTTATATATGTATATAATTTAGCTAAATATTATACATATACACATACAAGTGGTATATATATATTTCTATGTATATATAGTTGTTATGTAAAAAGTTTTAGTTCATAATCTCAACTAAATTGTAAATTTGATTTAAACTTAAGCACATTTTTTCATAAATTTGTATGCAATAGGAAATCAATTAGTTAACGTATACTTTCTTTCTTTCTCTTCCTTTTCTATGGTTATTTTGAAACAGATTCAGTTTGCATTAAAAATCATGTTTCCGTTAACTTAATATCATTTGTTTTTGGATGTTTTATTTAGTTTTAGTATTTGTTTTTTTCTTTTTGTATCTGAATTAAACCTAAAGAATTTTTACTTTGTTTGCAACAAAAGTATTTTGTTTTTTGCTGTTTGCTTCCTCATTAAACTAAAAAAGACAAAAAAAAAAATAATAATTTGTAAATGTTATAAATAAAAGCGTGTGGAATTACAATTTCTTTTTTTCTTCTTCTTCTTTTTGAAGGCTTTCGTAATAACTAGAAACAAAGTGTAAAAAGTCGCTTTTTAAATAAGTTTTTGTTATTTTGAATGTTTCAAAAACGATTATAACAACTTTAAGAGTTTCGATTTATTTTTTTTTTTTTTTTTGTTTGTTTTTTTCACAGAATTTGGTTGACTATGTAAGGCGCAAATAAAAAGAAAGTTAACAAAATTTGGCATATTTCACATTTGTGTGGTTTTTTCTGCTTCTGCTATTTTTTTTTTTTTAATTTTTTTTTTCTTTTGTAGTGTTTTCTTAATACTTGTTTATTCATATATGTTGTGTTTTTTTTATAGTTTTTTTTTTGTAGTAATGCAGCTGCAAAGACAACAATTTACGAAAATAAGAAATCTAAGTAAATTCACTAAGCACAATAGTATTTCTGTTGTTTTTTGTTGTTGGGGAGGAGGATGCCTTCGGGCTTTGTCAAACCATACAAAATTATTGTACACAATATAACATGATGTCGTCTTAATCAAATAGTAAACTAAAATCATTAACGTATTTACGCATATAAATTAAAATTATATTTCAACAGCCAAATTGTTCACAAAAATTGCATTTTCTTTTTTCTCTTACATTTCTTCGACAACAACTTTGGGAGGAGGTTACCTTCTTTTGTTTTTTTTTTTTTTTTTTTGTATTTGTTTTTGTTTGTTTTTAACTTAGCTTATTAAAGAAAATGTATATAGAAATTCATAATTATAATATTATGTGTGTCGCTTGAAGATTTCAATATTTAAGAGTTGTACAACAACAAAAAGATACAAAATAAAAGTAATCATAAGACAATTAAAAGTGTTTCACAAACTTATTCAAATAATTGTAGCTATAGCTATAGTTCTTGGTTTTCATAATATACATATAATAATATAATATACATATATATATATATATATATATATATATATATATACATATATATATATATATATATATATATATATATATATATACATATATATACATATATATACATATATATATATATATATATATATATCAAGTGTAGCCTCACACGTAGTATTAACGAAAAAAATAAAATAAGTCAGGACATTTAAAAAAAAAAACAATTATACATAATTAAACAGTATAAGCATAAATTGTTTCGACAATTTTGTTTTGTTTAGTTGTTTTGTTGCTGCTGCTGTGCTCTACAAATAAAATACGATTTAAAACATATTATTCGGTGAAAATGTTGTTTAGAACTTTTGTTGTTTGTTGCTTGTTGTGTGTTGTTTGTTTGTTTGTTGTTTGTTTGTTTGTTGTTTAAAGAAAACGCAAATAGCGTTCAAAATGTACATATATATTTCATATAACGTACATTGAAAACTAGAATTAAATAAATGACAAGATTAAAGTTATTCATATGAAACACATTCAATTTTAACGGCGTTTAACGAATCACTAAAAAAAAATAATATTCAAAGTTAAATCCATTAACTGGTTACATACACATTACAATATACCAATTCACTTCGATACGTTTAGTTGTGTATGTATTGTATATGTATACTAGGCGTTTAAGTGTGTGTGTGTGTGTGTGTGTGTGGCTGTGTGTGTGAATAAGTGTTGTGTGTGTTGTATATAATAAAATGTGTGTTACAGCCTATAAAAAATAAGTTGCTTCGCTCTTAAATATTTTATCATAATTATTATGATCTCTTTTCACTTAGAACATAGTCAAAAATAAATTGCCATTTTTACATAATAAAAAATTCACAAAAATTATTTGTAATCGATCGTAAAGAATAAAGAACAACAAAGTCATAATATTCACATCTAATCAACTAATCATAATAATAATTATAATAATAATAGTATGTTATGTTTTTTGTTTGTTTTAAAAATAATAATGTCTTGGGAGTAAACCAGCCTTATATATTGTATTACAACGGGAAAGAAATGGCACATGCCCCAAATATGTGCTATAGAGTCTATACATATTAATATACATACATATGTATATAATATATTATATATAGTATATGTATACGTATATTTATATGTATGTGGGCATATGCACACGTATGTATATGTTTGTTTTTGTATGTATATAAGCAAGAGGAATATCGTTTTAACATTGTAAATATATATATAGAACTTAACAATAGTTTTATTTTGTTTTGGTTTTTCTCATGGTTTTTTCTTCCTTTCCTACTTTCATCCTTTTCAGTATTAGTATTGATTTATTTATCATTTTGTTTACTTAGTTGGTTGGCCTAATGCATTGCAAATTTGTTGTTTGTTATTGTTATCTTTTTTGTTTGGTTTGTCAGCTTACATTTAGTTTGTTTGTAAATTTTTGTTATTATTACTAACACACTCACAAACGCGACAATGAGAACATATAGCACACATACACACACGCAACACACACACACACAAGCACACCATAACAAACACACACACACACGCTGCACAATGCGCATATCGTTTGTGTTTGTTATAAATATATATATATATATATATATATATATATATATATATATACATATTCACATAGATGCATATACACAGCGACAAAAATCAGCATATATGTGTTATTTTTTGTATATACATATGTATGTATATATGGCAAAGTCATATAGTCATAGGAGTTTACATATGTCTGTTTAAGATATTTTTGTTTTAAATATATTGTTTTTTTTTTATATTCATACACATACGTATATAAATAAATATCACCTTATATAAGCAGCAGTAAGGAAAAACCTAAACACTTTTGTTTTTTATTTTTACGTTAAAATTTAAAATATCTGTTAGTTGTACACAATTTTAGATGTTGTTCATTATTGCCTGGTTTTTCCTGTCCACTTTGAAAATGTGCACAAAAAGGGCACGTTTCCGCATATATATTAAATGAATATACACACACATATATATATACATATATATATATATATATGAGTTGTATCGTTACATATATAGATATATATATATATATATATGTGTGTGTATGTATATGTAGCATGTAAAGTATATGCGTGTTTGTTTTTGGTTTTCATCGAAAAAAGATTTTGGAAGGGGTTTTGCACAAAAGAGCTAATCGGTCCATATAACAATATATATGCCTATTAATAGATAATAAGTAACATGTAGTTGTGTGTGTTGTGTGGTATTGTGTTAAGTGTATTAAATGTGTGTGTATGTGTTGTGGGAGTGTTGTTGTTTGTTCTGTGTGTATGATTGTGATTTAGTGTTTCGTGTCGTATGACAAATTTTAACAAGAACATAACTATAAATAAAAAATAAACAATTAAACAAGAGCATTTTTTGTTAAAAGTGTTGAAAAATATGCGAAGATTTCTTCCTTTCTTTTCCATTGATTTGTTTTTGTTTTACACTAAGTAAAGTTGTTTGTTTCTTGTTATAGATTTGTTTGTTAATATTTTAGCTTTTTTTTTTCAGTAGCGCTAATCGTTTTTTTTTTGTTTTGTTTTTGTTGTTGCTATTAAATTAGAGATCAAAAATAGTATTGTTGCATTTTGTTGTTGCTTGTTGCTGTTGTACGATGACAACACTTCTGCTTAAAACGTGTGTTCGAGATTCGAGATGTAACGCCCGTTTTCGCCCCCATATATATATATATATATATATATATATATATATATATACATATTACTGTGTTGCATTGTTGCAGTGCTTAACGGTACTGAGCTGACCCTTTTCTCGAGCTTTTCTATATGGAAGGCGGCGGCTTAGCTCGAATCATATTGTTGCTATGTTGCTCCATGTCGGTGTTGCTGTTGCTGCTGCTGCTGCTACTGCTGCTACTGCTGGTGATGTTGCTGTTGCTGTTGATTATGCTATTGTTGTTCCTGTTACTGTTGCTGTTACTGTCGTTGTTGCTTGTTGATTGTTGCTGTTGTAGTTGTAGTTGCTGCTGCTGCTGTTGTAGTTTCTGTTGTAATTGCTGTTGTAGATGCTGCTGTTGCTGTCTGCGGCATCCGTATATCTTGCCCGACGAGTATTTGTAGTTGTATTTGTTCATATCGACAGCTGGACGATTGTTGCGCGCTTTGATTTGCAATCAGTGAACATAGAGGGTGTTCAGGACGAGCACATGATGATTGTTTTTGGCCAGCGTTACTACATAGCCCTCTGAGGTAATTTTCAGGCCGCAGCACCGTGAAACCTGCATGGGTCATACAATTTAATTAGAATCGAAATCAAAACCAAAGCTAATACTAGCTAGATCAGTTGAAAATGTCAATTGTTTGCGGATGACGATCTCTGGAAAAGAACAGCATTGAGCAAGTGGGCTTGGCAAGAATATTATGGACTTGATCTTTAGCAGAGGTCTGCAAATATCTGATGCCAATATACACGAGTATATATTAGAAGATTTGAGTATTTAGATTAAGTATTTATACGGAAAGACGTATTGTCCAGCATGACGGACAAAACCCTTGATATTTGTGCAGGGCACTGCTCAAAGCCCCTATTCTTTTGCGAATAGAGTACGAAAATTGAATGCTTAATATATAAGAACATGTAGTAGAAGTTGATAATAAAATGAGTACAAAATATAATAAGTCATTTGCAAACCTTAACATGGGGGCACTCGAACTCGGATTGAAGAGCGCCTTCGCGCGAATAACAGGCCACATGGAAGCGATTGCCGTGCGAATCGCCGATGAGTACATCGCCAGCGTTGGATATGTCAATGCCATTGGGGAAGCAGGTAACCTTCTCGTTGCCAATGCGATAGAGGAATGTGCCGTCCTCTTGAAAGACGGCCACGCAATGCCCCTTAAAATCGCATACATAAAAATCGTTGTCTGCAATTCGAAGAATATATGTTAATATATGTTAATTGCAGCTGCTGCCAGAGGCTACTACTTACCACGTATTGCTATATCGGAGGGTTCACGCATATAGTCGCTGCAATCGAACCAACGCACCAGTTCGCCCTCCTCGGAGATGACAAAGACGGTGGGCGAGACGCTATCGACGGCCACAATGTGACCCTTGGCGGTAACAGCCAGACCCGCAACGATATCAATATACCTACAAAGATTGATTGGCAAATTGATTGACATATAGATGAATTCAATTACACACACACACATACCTGATTGCAATTTTACGCATAAAATGTCCGCATTTGGAGAAGATTTGCATGCGAGAGCGCTCGTTGCCGCGATCGCAGACCACAAATTTCCCATTGTTATGCATGACGGCCACTTTGCGTGGATACCAGAGCTGGCCCTCCTCCTTGCCGGCGACGCCAAATTGAAATTTGAGTGCGCCCATTTTGTCAAAGACCTCGATCCGATGATTGTTGGTATCGGCGACAATGATCTCCTCATCGACGCCCAGACAAAAGCCGTGCGGTGAATTGAACTGTCCCTTTGCGGTGCCCAGCGAGCCAAATTTGCAGCGAATCTGCATGGGCGTGGCCTTGTTGCGACCCGTGACAACGCTGGTGGTGCCGGGCGGGGCGACGGCATGAAAATTATTAAGGCCCATCTCCTCGACGCCGCCAACGATCGGATTCAATGTCTGCAGACTGGGCGATGTAGCTGCCGGCATGCAGAAATCTGTTAAAATATAATCAAGGCACGTTGAGCTTCCGTTCGACGACAACAAATCGTGATGCTCATCTGTGTGTTGGGTGGTATTTGGGAGTGTTTGGATTTGTTGTTGGTGTTGTTGGTATTGTTGGTGTGTGTTGATTGTTGAAAAAAGGAAAAACTTAAAAGTTATCAAAACAAACAAAAATAAAACGAAATACAAAAAAAAAAAAAACAAAAACTAAAACAAGAATGGTTCTTTCGGTAAACCGAAGATTACAAAATTGCAAACACTGCGCATTACGCAATCAAATATTCAGATCTTCGATAGATTATTTAAACAAAAACTAATTTGTTAGCTTGACTTGAAGACATAAAATCGCATAGAATCGCCGAATTAACATGAGGCTAAATAGGAGAGTAAACATTAAGAGAGTAAGATCAGATGTGACTATTAAGCGTGAATTTTACTTAGGATTATACGAATCGCAAAAAAGGCGATATCAAAGTGCCAAAGCCCGTGTGAAGAGGCAGGCAGTTAAATAAGACAGAGAGAGGTAATGACACGGTGAGCCAGAGCGAGTGAGAGTAAGAGAAATAGGCGTAAAGTGAGCCTTAATCAGCGGAGATCTAGAAATCTATATTATATTGATAGTTTTTCAGACATTGCCATATATAAATCTTCGCATTGTTTATTTTTCGTGACTTTTATGGACTGCAAGAGCTAGGAAAAGGTGTAATAAACTTCGTCTATTGTCTCAGAAATCGACGGACTTATACGGACAAATATCTATACCAAAACACGTTGTCATTGAGATGTGTCATTCTGTCAGTCACAAAGGATTGCCTACACATTTTTAGTAACTGATTTGTATAGGTATGTACCGACTCTATGACCCCGCATGGGTAATTGGTTTTTATTTCCAAATGTTCTGTAACCTGTTCTATCACCTGTCTAAGATCCGACCATTTCAGCATTGCATACTGTCTGCAAGGATGTAATGTGTGTGCAATGGGAAGCAAGCATGTGAACAAGATTTGGAGGAATTACTCACCATTGTTGTTGAGTCCGAGCTTGGCCAGTGCTTGCAGATTGTTAAGGGCACGCTGATCACCGGACAGAATGTCGGCCAGTGTAATGGGCTGTGTGGGCGTTACCGCCGAGGCGGGAATAACCGCCTGCTGATGATGGGACGCAGCGCCGCCGGCGGCGCCGGAGGTAGCGGCCACAGCCACGGCATTGGAGCTACCAACGGCCAAAGTATCGTTAAGAGTATCCGGTATGCTCTCAGTGAGACTGGCCAAACGCGACAGATTATATTCGAGCATGCTGAACGGTGGCGGTGGGCCGCCAGCATTCATGCCCATGCCATTGAGTGCGCCCAGGCCCATACCCACAGCAGCATTGTTGGGTCCGGCATTTAGATTAACATGGCCGGCCGATTGCTGCACCTGGACAATGCCCTGAGGCGTCACCATTTGTGCAATTTGTTGGGTCACGGGCAGCGTTTGTGGCTGTTGATGCAGGACCTGTTGCTGCTGTTTTTGTTGCTGCTGCTGCTGCTGCTGTTGTTGTTGTTGTTGCACCTGTTGCAAGGCCTGCTGCTGCTGCTGTTGTTGTTGCTGCTGCTGCTGCTGTTGCTGTAGTGGTGGCTGCAACTGCGGCGGCGAGTCTGGCGGCAATGTGCTCATCATGGAATAGTTAGTCATCACGGAGGTGTCGCCATCGAATGAGCTTTGCAAAGATGATGGCAATGATATGGGACTGAATACCGCCGCCGAGCTTAGCCGTCCTTGCACGGAGCTGCTGTTGCCGCTGCCGCCGACCCCGGTCAAGCTGCGCACTCCAGCGGGCAGCAAACCAACGCCATGACAGCCAGGTGCCAAATTTGCCGGTGGCGGTGTATGTTGCTTGGGCGTGGCCGTCGGTGAGGGCGTTGTTTCAGACATCGCAGTTCCAGCTGCTGTTGTATTCTTGGTTGACTCGGTGCGAAATTTGCCAAACATTTCGCGGGCAAAGCGCTCAAACTTCTCGGGCATGCACTCGAACTGCAGCTGATAGTTGGCATCACTTTGGGGCGTCTGCTCCATGAGATTGGCGCACTGCGCACTAATAACTGGCTTCAGCAGCAGAAACTCAACGGCATTGGCCTTCTCCATGGCACGTTGACCGAACTGTGAAGCCTGCTGCAATCGTCCCATATTGTTCTCCAGACTCTGCATTAGGTCCATAATTTTAAGTTCACGCTCCGAATGCAGACGCCCCAATTCGGTGAGCAATTGATCACGAATTAGCTCAAGCATTCGCTTGTAGCTCTTGTACGCATCCTCGATCTGCTGCCGCACATGATCGTGCTGTGATTGAAGTTCGGTCAGGGCGCTGCTCAGATTGCCGCCAGCATCGTTGCAATATTGTGCCTTCTTCAAGGTGTCCGTAATGGTTTGCTCGAGATCAGCACGAACCGACTGCTCGGCAATTAATGCCGTTTCGTAGTGATGGTCGTTGCCCTTGTGCTCGCTAAGCAGGCAATCATTGCAGGTGGGCACCTGGCATGTAAAGCAATAGTACTTGAGATTCTCGTTAATGTGCTGGCGACAGCAGATGGGCTTGTGTATGATCAGCTTGTCGTTCTGCACGTTCTTTTGCAGATCCTCGATGCGAACCACCTGATGGTTCTCAAAGCAGCGCATATATTTGTGTGCATTATCGCAGCCATTGCACAGAAAGTTGGCGCAATCATTGCAACGGGAAATGGCCTCCTCTTTGCTCTTGCACGACGTGCACGGTATATGCTCCGCCTCGAGATTGGACAGATCCAGTATATTGGTCACAATATAGTCAACGGTCAGACCCTTAATACCCTTGCTGCCCAGCTGTGTCTGCTGCTTGCAAACGGGGCATTCGAGTAGTCGTTGCTGATGATCGCTGCCATCAAATGACGCCGATGAGCAGCTGGCCGCCGACGAGAGAGAGGCAGCCGGTGAGTTGGCCGAGTTCGCCTCCTTGTTAACCAGCAAATTTTGCAAACAGTCCTCGCAAAATACATGTAGACAGGATAAAATGCGCGGCATCACCAAGTGCGAACTAGAGAAGGAAAGCAGGATTTTTAAAAAACGTCGTTTCCATTGTGTAAAATTGTTTGTAAAAATAATCGATAATGTCGATATAAATCAAGTTATCTGAAATGATCAGTGCTGGCAATTTGGCCATTTTCTATGGCTCTTTTACGGTCATTTTTAAATTATATTTTAGCTATTTTGCAACTAAAGTCTAAGTCTATTAAAATAAGTAAATCAGCGCACTTTTTTAAATGAAGTTTGCAAAATGTTATTTAATCTAAATACTTGTTAAATAGGTAATGAATAATAATACAAATATTTTGCATCCCAAATCTTATTAGTATAGTATATTTTTAATTTTTCTATATTTTTAATTTTTCAACATCGCTAATTGTCAAAACTACAAAAGAGCCGCGTAAAAATCAAAAATATATTTTACTATCCATATTTCGTTCTTTTACAAGAATTGTGCGTGTAAGCCTAGCCTTTTTTGATCATAATTCGTGTCTGGGTTGGGCTGTAAACAACTATTGAGGCACGCGCCCATCTCTAAGCCGTACTAACTTCTTCGAGTTTCGTTAGAAGTTCTCGAACAGTGTTGGCAAATTTGAAGCAGAAATCAGTACAGATTTATCGAGTTTATCAACATGATCTAAAATTCGTATTTAAGGGCACAGAACTCACCTGCACAGCTTGCAGTTCTTATCAGCATCCTTGAGCATGGAGCCGCACGTATCCTCCAGCGAATCGAGCTCCGTAACGCTTTTGGCGTCGTAGCCATGGCTCAGCTCCTGGCTGCTGCCAATATTGCTATCCACATCGACCACCAAACCGAGTCCTGATGAATTGGTCGTTGATGGTGCAGTCGTTGATACCGATGATGTAATCGATGCAGCCGATCCAATGCTAGACGAACTAACGCGTGTCGCATCAATGCTGCCCACTGTGCTGCTGCCCTTGCCGGTGTCCGTGTCGGTGCCAGTGCCATTGCTGCAGCTGCTGCTGTTGCTGCAGGCACTGCTGCTGCTGCTGCTGGTGGTGCTGCTGCTGCTGCTCGTATTGCTCACATCGATGTCCTCCAGCACGGACGATGAGTTCGAGTCCTCGCATAGCGTTGTACTCAGCGTTGACCTCTGCTGCTGCTGCTGCTGCTGCAGCTGTTGTTGCTGATCGTCAATTGTCGCTGGGACCAGTGTTTGGCCAAGCTCCTCCAGCAGCGTGCTCATGTTGCCAGCAACTTCTTAATTTACTGTTTGTTCTATTGCGATTCCTTTCCAATGGGATTTGGAATTGTGAGGGGGTGGGCCGAGTTTTTCCCTTCTTTGCAACGTTCGTTCTCGCTCTTTCTCTCTCTCTCTCTGTCTTTCTCTTTCGGGTTGCTCTTCTTAAACTTAGGCGTGTGTAGTTGTATCTGTTGGTTGTTTGTTTGTTTTTGTTTTTGGTTTCAAGTCCTTTGCGCTTACTTAACTATTTATCTTCTCTTATAGCTGCATATCTGAATTGTTGTTATGTTGTTCGCTATTGCTCCTTGCAGCCATGCCAATTGCACATAAGCAAGAGTATGTGTGAGAGTCGATATTTGAATTTCTTCTGCTGCTGCACTCACGCATACATATACATACACGAGTAAGTAAACGCCAACAGACAGGCAGGTAGACGGCAACGAGAGAATGGGAGAGGAAGTGTAAGAGTGTGCGCTCGCTTGCTGCTGTACTCACGCACGCAACACAGCCACAGACACGCAGGCACACAACAAGCACAGTTTTGTTGTTTTGCTCGTTTTGCTGCTCCTTTTACTTTTTATGCGTCTGCATTTTGTAAGCCTCTTGATTTCTGTTATACTCCTCTCCTTGCTGCTGTTTCTGTTGTTGGCCGTGATCCGTTAGAGTTACCGTTAAAGCAATGAGCTGCGTGTTGCTGTTGTTGCAATTCTTGTTGTAGTGTTGCGTTAACCACGACAAAAACGATGACGAAAACGACGACGACAACGACGACGACAACGACGACGACGACGACAATAGGCGAAGGATAACAGCGTCGTTCTGCACAATAAATACACCGAAAGGCAATGGAAAGCGTAGCGTCAATTTACCAAATTTTGCAAGGAGGATATAAATAATGATACAATAACACTTAACTGTAAACTTAATGGTTAATGCGATGACCAAACATAGTCATTAATAAATAAGCAACCTAAGGAGACCTGCGAGCTCTAAGCACTTAACTACCTGAAACGCGAACCAACTTAGAAAAGGGGGGAAAAATAAAAAAAAAAAAAAAAACAAAAACAAACAAACGACGACACGCCTATTACAGAGAGTTTCGAACGAGAGAACAAAACTGAACGAGAAACATACATAGTCAATTGTTGGCACTAAAGTAAATGATGAAATGTTTGTCTCAGCGATTCACACAGTCAATACGAAAGGAGGGTGTGGGTGGTGTGTGGTGTGTGGCAAGAAGTAGCAGCTAAATGCTAAAGCTCCTGCCGCTTATGCAACACACAACGCCATCAAGTTGCCACATAGCACATTATGCTGCATACTTTAAGGAACATCTAACAGTTTCTTGTTGATTTCAAAGTCATTGGATCACCGTTATCTATCGGGAAACTTGGAAATTATTATTTGTTTATGTTTGAATGTATTTATATTGCTGCTTGTAAATGATTAAGTAGTTGAAAATTAATTCCTTTCTTTCTACTGAGCGAGTAAGTGCACTGGGTTTGTAACGTCCTTGGTTATAATAAATTGTGAAATTTACAACACTGGCATACAGCTTAACGACGAAAGTTTACCCGATCGTCAAGAATTATTATAAGTTCAATTGATTGCTTAACAACAAAAAGAATAGCTAAAAAAAAGTAATTAAAAAATATATTTTATAACTATCAATAACGACCAAACCCATTATTGCATCCCTTCGTTTTAATTTGCAATTTGATACGGATGCGTCGGTCGACCCCCCGATCTTTTATTTGTTAGAGATGTAATCGATCACGATAGTAACTATCGTAGTTAGTGCAAGTTTTAGAATGGACGTGAATCGATTCTTTACGCACGTGCCATTGATATGTGTGTATATCTAGCATACACAAATACAAGCATACATATGTACTCGTAGAAATTGCAAGTTGCCCAATCGGCGCAGGCGCCTGTGTTAACATTTATGCAGCACAATATACATATGTATATACATATTTATATGTATATATGTAGTAATGGAGCCAATGCCGTTTGTAATAAATTCAATTTTGATTTTCGCCCTTTATACACCATTTTTTTTATTGCTTGCCGCAAGGACACTAAGCCAAAAATCCTTGAGCAACGAATGCTCATATTTGTATATGTATATATTATACATATGTATCGCCCAACAAAGCTATGTACTTTAAATTTTAAGCTCATCTATTTGTCGTTACATATACATGTATATTTATTTATATGCACATACATACATACATAGAAGCACACGCGGGTTCAAACGAATATTTGAGTAATGCCCGCAGCGGATGTGTCGCAAATTTAAATGTTGATTAGTAGCCCTCAAAATACAGGAACAAAAAATAAGCGAAACGGTAATAAACCAGCCACAACAATAAATCAGCTGCACAAAACAATTGCAATGTACGTTAATACGTATGTATGTACGTTTATAGACTCCGGTACACACACGCACGCACACACACACACGCGCGCATACGGACTACACACGTGGTACGCAAATTTTGAGCGTTTTGTTTACGAGAATCTGTGCGCGACTGTCGACTACGCGACTATGCGCTCCGTGCAGTTGGAAATGGGCATCAAAAAGATATGCACTCCCCCGACCCTCACTATCCTAACGACTTTGTCGAATCTGCGCAGCTGTTGTTTTTTTTTTTATTTTATTTTTTTTTTTTTGCATTTCATTCGTTTTTTTACGTACGTTTCAAACGTTTGTTCTCGCTGTGCGACTCTGTCGCTCTCAAATGCGACAGTTATTTTCAGTGCAGCCACCGCGCGTACCGCAACCCATGTGTTTTGCGAGTGTGAGAGAGCGAGAGAGCGTCTCGCACATGTGTTGGTATGCGCATGCTCGCTCGGGGCGAAAAAAAAACATTGGCAACCCCACACACACACACATACGTAGACTTCGTTGAAAATTGAATTTCTTTAAAAATATGTGAAAAATTCTATTTTAAAATTGGCTCTTTTACACTATATCTTCGTATGCACACTAATGCTGTCCGTATTTGAATTATAACTGCACACAAACTATGTTTTGCAGCTAACCAACTGAATGGAAAAAAACGCGCCCGCTCTTTTAAAAGTCGGTACTTTTGGGCTACATACATGTATATACTCTGTATGTATGTTTGCATATTGTTCGTGAGCCTGGGCAATTGAGCGAGTGTCTAAACGTGCCGAGGAGGAGCATATCGAGAGTTCTAATAGTGGACAGAGAAAGTGGGTAGGGGCCATCACACAGTACACACTTGCAGCTGTGGGCAGTGTCGTTCTGTTGTCCTTGAACGCAAAATTTCCACTCCACCGCCCAGGTGCTGTTGGTCGAATGAAACACACACACAGCACGCACGCATGCACAGAAAGTCCTTCAAAAGTCTTCGCGTCGTATGCCGTTAAGCAATAAGATTGACATTTTGTTAATTATTTTATTGCGATACCTTTCTATAAATTTTCACACGTTTTTTTTCTTCTGCTCGTTACGATTTATACTTTTTCGTCGCGCACACACGCACACACACACACACAGCACTGCTGGCCGCCGCTGCTGCTGGTTCTCGCGGTTAGTGATGGTATATATCACATCGCATCGATGAAAATGGTTAACCGATAGGTCGAACGATAATTTTGGCATCTTTGGTAATTTGCAATTCAAATTTAGCGGAAACTCGAAGTAAGACAAATAATAAATAGCAGATCACATATGTAAGTACATCAAATCGCACAGTCGGGGAAAAAGTAGAAATAACATAATAGGCAAAAAAGGCTTGTAAGCCGCTCCATTAGCTAACCACATCTATTATACAAAAAAGTAAATCATAAGTATATGTTAAGACGCGAATGACGATATAGTAAATTGTTCATCCGAGCGCGTAGGATTTATTGTATGCGTACGAACTTGCCAAAGTAAAACTGCAAGTGTCTATGTCAAATACACATACAAAAAAAAATATATATATGTCAATTTTTATTTGTAAAAATTAAACTATTTTGCAACACATAGTAAGAGTTCGATATTCTGCTTTTTAGCCAATTACTTAGATATATGTTACAAAAATATATTGTAACTGTAAGTAACTTGTGACAAGTAACAGATACGTAAACGTTGCTCATAATTACACAGCGCTGCCCAACACTAACGAAACCAACAGAACAATCGAGTGCATTGAATGCACGTTGCTTGCGGCAAAAGTTTATTTGTTTTTTATTTACGAGAATTGAAGTCAAAACATGTCCAGTGGGGCAGGCACAACTGTTGCGGCCGAGAGTGCCGATGCGACCGCTTCTGCCAGTGTCGCTAGTGCCACTGCCACAGCACAGCAGGAGCCCATCTTTCAGGAGATCAACGCCGAGCAGGCAGGGGAATTGGTTGAGATTGAGTCCGCCTGCATGCGCTGCTTCAAAACGGGAATAACCCGTCTGCTGCCCACCAAGATACCCTTCTTTCGTGAGGTTGTGCTGATGTCCTTCAAATGTGAGCACTGCGGCCACATGAATAATGAAATGCAATCGGCGTCGGAGATACAAAAGAACGGTGTACGCATCGAGCTGGACGTGCAGAAGCCATCGGATCTGAATCGACGTGTTGTGCGCTCCGACAATTCCAGCATCAGCATACCAGAGGTGGAGCTGGAGATACCCGTGCAGTCGCAGAAGGGCGAGGTCACCACTGTGGAGGGCATCATTGAGCGTACGATAGCTGGCCTGTCGCAGGATCAGGAGAAACGTCGTGTTGACCATCCCGCAGAGGCAGCGTCCATCGATGCCTTCATCGACCGTTTGCGCCAGTTGAAGTTGCTGAACAAACCCTTTCGCCTGCTGCTCGAGGACATCTCCGGCAATAGCTTCATTGAGAATCCACTAGCACCCGCCAGCGATCCACAGTTGAAAATGGGTCACTTTACGCGCACCCAAGCGCAAAACGAACAACTTGGTGAGTTTTGTTTTCTTAGCCTTGTTCGCCATGTGTTATATTTGCCGTGTGCCACGCAGGTCTCTATGATCAGAACCACGAGGAGCAGAATCTGCTAAAGCCCATGGTCGAGGGCGAGTGGAACATTGAGAATTTGCACGGCGAGGTTCTGCAGTTTGCCACGAATTGTCCGAACTGTCAGGTGCCGTGCGAGACAAATATGAAGCTGACAAATATACCACATTTCAAGGAGGTGGTCATCATGGCTACCGTCTGCTCCAGGTGCGGTCACAAAACGAACGAGGTGAAGTCTGGTGGCGGCATTGAACCAGAGGGTGTGCGATTTAAAGTGCGCGTTGCCTCTAAGGAGGATCTGACGCGCGATGTTCTCAAATCGGAAACGTGCAGTTTGTCCATACCGGAACTGGACATGGATGTGGGTCCCAATGCCCTCTGCGGCCGTTTTACGACCATCGAGGGTTTGCTGGTGGCCATGCGCGAGCAACTGGACGGCACATTGTTTCACGACTCTGCCGATGAGCCGTCGAAGCGACAGCTGGAACGCTTTCTGGACACCTTTGATAATGTGCTCAAATTGCAGCAGGTAATCACCCTGGTGCTCGAAGATCCGGCTGGTAATACTTATGTCCAGTCGCTCACTGATAACGATGAGCCAGACGACAAATTGACCGTGGAAAGATACGAGCGCAGCTATGAAGACAACGAAGAGCTGGGTCTAAATGATATGAAAACTGAAAATTATGAGAAGGATGCGTGATAAAATGCCTTTTACCTCTTAAACAATATGCATTTACTAAACAATTCATAATACAATTGTAACAATTTAAAACAGTTAACTTTGTGGTGTCGATGAACGATTTTGAATAATAAATACTTTTGCAAGCATATAGCAGATGTTTGATCATTTCTATACTTTGCAGCGGTTGTGTACCTTTTGCGGTCGGTAAAACACCTTTCGTGCCAAAATTATAATAGCCTCTGCAAGGCTGCAAGGGTATAAATACTAGAGTATATATCGACATCTTTGGTTTTAATTGCGCTTACACGTACGCACACAGACAACTAGACGTATATTGCACGATTAAACAAAGATCATATTTAATATTAATAATAATCCGTTTGCTAACACCGATTAATTGGCATTCGAATATTGCGCCAAATTTATATAGATATGGAAGCGATAGATTTGGTATTTGCTATCAAAAACAGCTATAGCATCATGTTCGATTGTAATAAAGATTGTCCAATCGATATATCGATAGCTGATAGCTGAGCTGGCAACGCCAGCTGATTTGAAATCGAAGCAATCGAAATCGCTTGGGGCTCTGCCAGTGGCACCGACACTTCCAATTAAATTGAACTTTTTTTCTGGTTATTTTGATTGAAAGCGCATAAAATGCTTTCGAATTGTGCCGCAAGAACGCTGGCTACTGTGGTAAGTAATTTGGCGCCCACAAAATGGCAATGGCTGGCAAAGAAAGGCCCGTTGCCAGTGGCAAGTTATGTAATTTTTTGCACGAAAAAAAAAAACAATAACAATCACAAAATGCATGCCTTTGCAGCGGGGCAGCCTGCGTGCCATTGCCACCAGCAGTGCACAGCGCAGCGACAATCTATTCGTGCATCGCGACACACCCGAGGATAATCCGAGCATACCCTTCGAGTTTAGCGCGGAGAACAAGAAGCGTGTGGACGCCATACTGAGCATCTATCCAGAGGGTCACAAGCGTGGTGCCATGATACCGCTGCTCGATCTGGCACAGCGTCAGTACGGCTGGTTGCCCATTTCGGCCATGCACAAGGTGGCCGAAATTCTCGGCCTACCCAATATGCGCGTCTACGAGGTGGCCACATTCTACACAATGTTTATGCGCAAGCCGACGGGCAAATATCATATCCAGGTGTGTACAACAACACCCTGCTGGCTGCGCGGCTCCGACGAGATCCTGGATACATGCAAGAAGCAGCTGGGCATCGGCGTTGGCGAGACAACAAAGGATAACAAGTTCACCATCTCCGAGGTGGAGTGTCTGGGCGCCTGCGTCAATGCGCCGATGGTGTCCATCAACGATGACTACTATGTGAGTATGCCCATGGACGGTTTTGTTGTTAGTGTGTAACTTATGCCTCGTTGAATACCGTAGGAGGATCTGACCAGTGCGGATATGCAGTCAATTTTGGGTGATCTTAAAGCGGATAAGATCTCACCGCCGGGACCACGCAACGGACGCTTTGCCAGCGAACCCAAAGGCAACCCAACCTCACTGAGCGAGGAGCCAAAGGGTCCCGGATTCGGTCTACAAGCGGGCCTCTAAACACGATTGAACCCTAGCTTAGCTTCAATCACATACAATTCTCCTCTTTTGTGCAACACACAAACACAGACACACGCAAGCAGACACGCGGACACAGATACAGCTTGTCAAATGGCAATTTAAATGCAATAAACCCAAATGGATGTTATAATTAAAATCGATTTACGATGTCTGTACATAAGCTATGTTTAATTTGCATTGGATTGAGTCTGATGGTGCCTGTAAAAATCTATTGACAAACGCTTAAGCTATATGATATAGAATATTGTATGTCAATTAAATTTTGCTAGGGATATAGTAAATGCGGAGAAAATATCTGGAAAACTGTGTTTCATATACGTTACACAAGGCTATAAAAACAGAAATTGCTGAGCAGTACCTTTTTTTCTGAAATAATAACTGACTTCTATCTTGGGATATCTTGATTTGGAGCCTACAACCCCAAAAGCTGTGGGTGAAGAGATCTTTGCAATGTTCCCGTCCCCTGTTAAGCATGACCAAAAAAAAACTTTACTACTATTTTGAATAATTCACGTACATACAAACCAAAATACTTGTTCTCGTGCTGTGCTATAATCTTAGCTTAGTTCCATGTAAAATTGACTTCAATGAATTTTTAAATATTCCCTGAAAATTGGAGACTTACTGGGGACATTGTCTCTCCTTTATCATATTCAGGCAGCCAATCGTTTTTCCTATGAGTCTTTACTTTAAGCATTATAATTGTGTTATTAGTCGAAAACTATTCTAAAAAGCACACTTAGCGGGACCCTAAACAGTTTCGTTAAAGCGAAGTGAAGAGTATTTTTGTACTAGGTTCTCGGTTAGTTATCGAAACCTGATAAATATGTCAAGCTAGCAGCATCCTTGACGGATTTACTCATAAGCTCACAGGTACAGTTGCCATTTGTATCGATAATTTTTCAATATTTACTGTCAGATTTGCAGTTTTAGGGATAGGGCCCCGAGAAAGTGAACTTTTGTGCATTATCAATTAAGTGCGTGGAGTAAACGCGAGTGAGAAAAATGCCTAGCAATTTACATATAACATTTATGATAACCATGTATGTACAAATTACTCGATCATAGTTCACTTTACAGCTTAGATAAGTAAACCTTTTATTCAAGACCAAAGAATCACGGAGAGCGATCAAATACGAAGCAAGGTAAGCAATCGCAATCATGCATATCATTATATTGTTCTGTTCGTTCGTCTCTCGAGCACAATTCTCTTCGTGATTCCCATTGCTGATTGCGCTTAGTGTTATCAATTGTTAATCATATGCTCTTAATGCACACACTCATTGAATTTGCATAATAAAAGGCTATTCTTACATGGTTTACATTTATATTTATATAATCATACTCATGACAGTCAATGCCGCTCACATTGTTCGAATCTTAAACGAAATTATGTGCATTATTTTACTACCACGAAACAATTTAATTCAGGGATTTTAAACTTAAGGCCTAAGTTAAATGATGGGTTTCCTTTAAATTGTAAACCCAGTTAAAGGGATTACGCAATGATTGAGATAGAAATTAACTGCTATGTATACTTTTTCCAAAACACTTCCCACTTTTTGCAGATTTTGTTATAGCTTACAAATTAAAGTGGGTGTATTTTGTGGTGTGTTGTGTGTGTGAGTGTGTGTGTGGTGTGTGTGGCGTGTGTTGTATTGGATTTTCGTACTTAAACAATTCACTTAAGAACTAGGAACGTGCGTCTACGCTGACCAACTCCACGTTTTATCAACTTAGGCTAATTGCGTTAAAATTGTAATTCAATTTCGATTACTACTCCGGGATTCGATCTCGCCCTTATATTTGTTTTGTCGTCCATGGTGGGCCCATTCACTCCTCGCCGTAAAAAACGCTATGTGTGCGAGCGAGTAAGCATTAATACATGGTACAAATCAAAGAGGGAGAGAAATATTTTGATGGGGGTGAAGAGGATGAGAGAGAGAGAGAGAGAGAGAGAGAGAGAGAGAGAGAGAGAGAGAGAGTGGATGAGTGGGAGAGCTCGTTGTCTTACCGATTCTTGGCAGCAGCCCGTTTGGATGAGCGCTCAATGCGATTGTGTAAATTGGAACGTGGAATTGTCTCGTTGACCAAGCGCTTCGTCTTCTTCGGGGATTCGCGTAAATGTTTCACATCGACATTGCGCTGCTCATCCAGGCCCTTTTTGAACTTTTCAATGAGGCCCTCGCAGGACAAATTGGACTCGGGCTCCCAGGTATCCTCTTTGGCACCGAAGCCCTTCCAGCGTATGCGATACAGGCCGCCGTGCTCATCATCATCAACAAAGTCGAGTATGCGTTCAACTGCCCATTCCTTATCGGGATCGCTTTCCACTTTCCTATTTGGCTTGCGTCCACGTACCGCTTTGGCACTGCCCGGTGACTTTTTTCCAATGCCAGTGCTCTTCTTAGAACCATCCTAAAGAAAATATATATATATATACAATTTTGCAGCCAGTTAGAACGGGACAACACATCGCGCACGTCGCATTGTCATCAAAGAGCGAAATAGATGGACTATGGCTAAGTGGAGGCGGGGATTTGGGCTCACCTTCTTCCGATACTCCTCGATCAGGTCATCGCAGTTCAACTCGGCCTCGGGCTCCCAACTGTCGGATTCTTTGCCATAGCCCTTCCAGCGCACTAGGAAATACGATTCTCCGCGCTTGGCCTTATGGCCCACAATGGCCTCAACCTGTTATCCAATTCAAATGAAATTTGTTTAAATAAGTAAATCGTCAGCCGGATGCTGGCAATGTTTTGTGTACCTCGAATTCGGCATCTATATTGTCATCGTCCTCGTTTAGCTCGGGCTCATCCGATTTGGATGACGATTTTTTGTTATGATTCTTTTCGGCAGCTGTCGTCGATACCCTGGCCTTGGGTTTGGGCGTCTTCCGTTGCTTTTTACGCGGTGGTGCACTCGGACCAGATCCCTTACTGCCATTTAGTGGCATATCATCGCTTTCATCCGTGTTGCTGTCGTCATGTGTGTTTGATTTTGTTGCGGCTGTGGAGGCCCTTTGCTTTTTGGAACTAATTTCCGGCTTACCGTCGGACTCCTTATTGGGTCCATTCTCGTCATCGCCCGAATTGCTGGCTCCGTTTTTCGGATTTTCATCGCTGTCGGAATATGCGGCAGATTTCTTTTTGCTTAGCTCGGAGAGTTCAGCTAATTTCTTTTTGCCAAGCTTAACCATTATTTGAAATTTTCACAAATTTCTGCAGCGTTGAAAAGAATGCTTTTAGTTTTTGCCGCGAAAAAAAATAAAACAACAATTATTTATATATCCACCGTCGCGACTGTGGCGACTGTACAATAGGGGTGAGATAAGCAGTAATGGTGCTATCGATAGTCGGCGATAACAATTAATATGGGTGTTGTGTATACCGTTTTTTCTGTTTGATTTGCGTGAACCAATTAAATTGCAGGTCTGATATATGTCCACTTGTCGTTAGAGCGTCATTATCAAGTACAAAAGTATAGCTTAAAACTAGATATTAATTAATTTAACTAGCAAATTCAACTAGCATGAAGCTTAAATTTTTTCCAGTTAAATATTTTAAAAATATTATATACATTTTTGTTGTATGAATCCAATAATCGATATCGATAGTTAACAATGGCTGTTATCATCAGTATGCAACCTCTTGTGCAATGTACACAATGTTGGGCATTTTTCTGTTCCGCTATACAGCACTGCTTTTTGTGTCGATAACGATATCGATAGATTGTTCATCAATTCGCGGTAACAATCACTTGGCACGTGTTGTCGTTGAGGGAACGAACACAAACACAACATTTCACAGTTCTTGCTTTGTCTTACAAATTGTAAATATGCTTAACTCAGATAAACCCAAGCCAACGGCTGTAGCCAAAAGCGAAAATAAGCCAACAACTAAAAAGCCGCCATTCAAAAATAATGTTGGCGCAAAGGGTAAACCCGTGAATAAATTCAAAACCGCTGGAAAACGCGGCTTCGAGGGCAAAAATAATAAGTTTGCAGCTGGTGGTAAGCCGCAGGCTGGCCAAAATGAAGTCAGCGAAAAGCAGGACTGGAATAAGTTCAAGCAGGAGAAGAAGGAGCTTAAGCTAAAACGCAAAAGCAACCGCGACACTTACGAAGTCACGCAGGAAGTCAAGAAGATCTACGAACAGGTTAAATGGTAAGTCCTCAGTGGCTCAAAAGGCGTACAATTTATTAAATATGTATATATCCAATGCATGGCCCCCTGCAGTCGTCGCACCCAAAACAAGGATAAGCTGGTGGAGCAAATGTACAAAATTCTCAACGTTGGCGACACCATCTCCAAGGTGGCCAAGGCACACGACACCGCACGCGTACTCCAATGCATGCTGAAGCATGCGACACCCGCACTACGCGCTGAGCTCTCCGACAAACTGATGGCGCACGCCGTTGAGATGTGCCAGTCGAAGTATGCGCACTTCTGTGTCCAGCGAATGCTCAAGTATGGCTCACCGGCCACCAAAGGCAAGCTGGTTGATGCTCTGTTGGGTAATGTGGTGCGGCTGTCGGGTCACAACATTGCCAGCAAAATATTGGATCACATCTATTTGAATGGCACCGAAAAGCAGCGGCGCTATATGCGCCAGGAGTTCTACAGCGATCTGTACAAGAAATCCAAGGATGATGATGTGCACACCCTGAGTGACACATACAAGGATGCTGCCAACATGAAGGCCTCCATAATGGGTGCCGTCAAGGCCAATCTGGATCATATTGCCAATAAAAATCTGGTTGACAATTCTCTAGTGCATGCCGTCATACTTGAGTTCATGCAGGCCACCGACGAAGAAAAGCTGGAGGAAACGGTCACCGCCCTGGCTCCATTGATACCGCACATGCTGACCACCAAGGATGGCACCGAGGCGGCCATTATATGTTTCTACAGGTCAACACCGAAAAATCGCAGAGTAAGCCAAGAGTTTCAAAATTTACCTTCAAATCTATTATGTTGTCCATTAGTCCCAGCATTCATTAAGTCCTTTTGCACATCCTTAGGCCATTATTAAGAACATCAAGGAGCATCTGCTGAAGATTGCCATACACGAGCATGGTCATGTCTTTCTCATAGCGCTGTTGAATGCCCTCGACGACACAAAGGCCACCAAAAAGGCCATCTATGATCATTTGCACGGGGATCTACAGACTCTAGTGGCCAATCAGTATGGACGTCGTGTCGTCCAGTGGCTGGTCGCGCCCGCTGATACAACTTGCTTTCATCCGGGCTTCATTAAGACCATCGAACAGGGATTGGCCTATGGCAAAAAGGAGAAACAGGCACGTCGTCAGGAGATTTTGGAACAGATCGAGGCACCCATTGGCCAGACCATTGCTGAGGATCCCGCATTTTGGCTTTCCAATAGTCACATCGGACTGGTCACAGCTGACATACTTAACCACAGTGAGTTGTAGAGCAGCTTGTGCCGACCGCCTGAATACACTTTCATAACCCTTTTGTATTGTAGTAACTGGCGAAAATTATATTAAAGCCGTCACAGCGTTGGCTCCGGTGGTCACAGCTGCCGATTGGCGCGTCTCCACATTGCCAGCTGAAGGCGCTGCACAGAACAAGAAGAAACCGCATAATGTTGAGGCCTACATAGCCGAGGCCACAAAGGAGCGTAAGAATAAGAATCAGCTAAATGCCGGCGCACCACCGCCCGTCAGCAGCGACGAGGAGAGCGATTCAGAGGAGGGCACCACTCCAGCGAAAAAACCAAAAGAGGACGAGGCCAAAGCTGCGTTGGAGTTGCCCACTGTCGTTGGCATTGAGGATGCCGGCATGCATCATGTGCTCAAAAAGATCATTAAAAATGACCAGAAACACGAGGCAGCTCCATTTGGCGCTCAGCTGCTGCAGCATTTGTCCGGCGATGTGGTAACTGGCTGGCTATCAAAAATTTGACAAGCTATTAAATTGTTTTTTCTCGCAGCTTAAATCCTGGCTGGGTATCAATCGGGCATGCTATGTGCTCGTCAAGCTGGTGGAGGATTCGCCAGCCCAGCTGAACAGCTGCCGTGCCCTTATCGAGGAGCACGAACTAGGCAAAGTGCTGCTCAGCGAAAAGTCGTCGGGTGCCAAGATGTTGGCCAGCAAACTGAAGAAATAGAAACATGCTTATAACTTCTAGTTTATAGTCATCTATTGATTAGTTTTAGTAAATGCGTTTGAAAATAACGATACTATATTTAAATAGAGTATATTATGCTCCCTTTTTAAATTTGGTTTAATTTCTGTGGCAAGCCTTGCAATCTCTCAAAGTTGGATATTTTTTGGGAGGGAGCTAGTGTTTATTATTGAAGTAGGATCGTAAAAGAGAACAGGAAAAGAGCATGTGCTAGATATCTTTCGAAGACATGTTTTCATACAAAGAATCAGTTTAAAGACATTTTAGATTGCGGACGAGATTTATGAAAAGCGAGAATCCTATATATTCATTTGATAAGTATTAAAATATGTAAAGCTTAATATTCTATTTGAAAATCGCATAGAAAGGCGAAAACACATATTTGTGCGTGCCTATCAAAAGAAAGAATAGTTAAAAGTTCTTAAGCGTTACTTGATTTCATGAAAATCGCATAGAAAGGCGACATTTACATTTTTCCAAAAGAGAATTTACTTTTTAATTCCCAGAGATCAGATAATATAATCAGTATATTGAGACAGAGCTGCCTTTTGCTGCGCACATTTGAATGCATCATGCTGGGATATAATAAAAAAAGAATATTAAATTCAAGCGCCTTTTTTAATTTTGTTTTATTTCTAATGAGTTAATGCAGTTGCCTATATCTTTTCATCCGACTAGGTTTATGATTTGCGCAGAATAATGTGCAGGCCCGAGTCGGTGTCCACAATGTCCGATAGCTGTCCCACCTTCAGTGCGAAGGCGGCCTTCTCAAAGGGCGCTTGCATTTGACCTAATTAAAGCATGGCATTGTGGTTAATAGAGCGTTGATTGGGTTCAAGTTGGGTCGCAACTTACCGCGTCCGAATTTGCCCAAGTCACCGCCACGTTTGGCCGAACTGCAGTCGGAATAGGAGCGCGCCAGTTCCTCGAATGTGGCCTCGCTGTTGACAATTTTGTTGCGATAGATCTCGAGCAGCATTTGAGCCTCCTCCTTGGTGCGTGTGATGTTCTCCTCGCGCCACGAGCTCGGTCGGCGGCTGCCCTTGTGTTTGACCAGCAAGTGGAGGCATTGCACCTCATTGGGCCCATCCGACGAGGAGGCATTACCTCCGGCCTTCTTTGCCGGTTCAGTGGGCTGGTCCCACTGGGACTCCTTTGTGTGCACGTTGAGATAGTAGCTCATACCTGAAGCATACATAAATAAATGCGTTATTAAAAATTGCCGGTTGCAACATTTTTTCTTGCACATGTATAATTTTCCTTACCGGTTGAGCGGCTGGTGCGTTTTTCCCAGCCTTCTGGCAAGTGTTCAGTTTCCGGCATTTTGTTGTTATAAGCTACAAACTTCTGGAATAACTAAATATCTTTTAGTTTACGACAAATTAAAACTCATCGGAGGATAAACAGCAAATGCGATTTATTTATCGAGACCGATAGCAAACCTCTCAACGATTTCCGATAGTTATGGATGGAGAGTCAGCCACCCTTAATAGACACCGTTGCCAGCAAATAGGTAGACAATGCAATTCATTTAATCGAGGTATTATTTTTTCAATTACAGATTTTTAGTTTACTTATCCATGTGCGCTTTATGAAGCGTTCCTTAATTGCATCGATTACCGCACAGAAAATACTCTGATGATATGCTGTTAAACGGAGGAGTCTCTGTTAGTAAAATGTTAAGTTCACTTCTACCCTGTTAGCGGTCTGTATGTAGTATATTTGTTTGGCATTTTCGTGTTTATTTCTCGTGGTCACACTGCGAGCGGAGTGCAGTCACATTGGAAGCTCAGTTTATAAATTCAGCAAACATTAAAAACCCAAACGCCAAAGAAATTTAAATTGAAGATTGCGAATGATATTGTTTTTTGTTTTGTATTTTTTCTCCGTAGCTGCAAACGTTACGATACACGCGATAGTGCATTCAATAAAAAGCTATTGCCGCTGAGCAATTGAAAACTTATTCCAACTAGAAAACGAATAGTGTGTATGTATGTATGCATGTGTGTGTGTTTTTGTGTCTGCGGGCAAACCGAAGAAGTGACGTTTACAGCAACACAAAAAATCGGTCTCGTCAAAATTTGAAGTGAAATTAAATAAAACACGTCGCCGTCGCCGTCGTCGTCGTCGTCGTCGTCCAGCCACTCACAACTCTTCCATGGCAGTTGGATGCACGTTTGATTGAAACGACGACGTCGCTTCGCTCGTCGTCTTTGCTGCAAATTTCGCCATCTTCGCTCAGAATACCAATAAGAAGAAGAAGCAATAACGGTGAGTGCTGAAGCAGGTGTGTTTACTGTGTACTCTTACATAGTGTGTATACATACTTAATGTATACGCGCACTCATACATATTTCATATACATATGCAGAAAACGTCATCAAACAGTAACAAGAAAACTTTCTATGCTATGCCTCGCTTTTGCTCATGTTGTCATTTTTATAACTTTCCTCTGTTTTTGCCCTCTTAACATCAGTTGCATTTTTGATTGCATTTGCCCGCATTCATCGCTGTTTATTATCATACAGCAGCAACAACAACAACAAGTGCCAGCAGCCTCTTAAATTCCAATTGGAGAAAATTCTCTGCGTTTCTTTAGCTTTCATGCCCATTTCCTACCACATCAGCTGCTTTGTTGTCTTGTTGTTGTAACCTTGTATCTTCCAATTCAACTCCGCAATGTCTGCTCTTGCTCTCTCGCTCTCGCCCTATCTTTCTCTGTGCGCAGCGTTACCACCTTGCATGGGTGTATGTACATATTCATACATACATATGAACGATACACCCATGCTCACATTTATACGCCTCGCGTGCGTTTTGCTATAATTCTGTTTATTTATTTATGTTCATGCTTCAAATACAGCACGACGAGCAAATATATGCACAACTGTATATGTCTATACATGCATATGTATGTATGTATATGCATAATTTGTTTAGAAGTTGTTCAGCCTTTTGAGTGTGCCTTGTCTGTTTGTTCATAAGTACATACATACATACATACGTAGTTAACTTTTGTTTTGTTAGTTTTTTATTTCAGCTGCATGTGTGTGGGTGTATTGTTTAATTATTTTTTAAATTTTATTTGCCTTTGAAGCTGCTCTACGAAGCTTTTGACCTTCTTCAAAAGCCGCGAAAATATGTTAAAAATGATTTACACTTGAGAAGTGAGCCACGTCCATTAATATACTATATGTAGGTGAGTGTGTTTGTGTGGTGATTGGGTGATGGAGTGGCGAGAGGGGAGAGGGGAACAACAACAATTTGTAATTGTTTAACCGAAAAGTAATAACGGTATCGTGAAAACAAATAAATATAAAAACATACCTACATACATACATACACATATACGTATATCATAATTGCCTTCAGTTTTTATCCCAGTGTCCGTTGCAAAAAAAAAACCGTTATGTAAAGTAAGCAGCAATACCAAAAGAAAAAAAAACAATAGCAGCGTGTTGCGCTCAGGCAGATTCCCTTTCCCCTTCAGCCCCCCCCCCCCCCCCCCCCCCTTATCATCATGCTGTCGCTTGTTTTCAATCACTTTCAAAATGTTGTTTACAGTTTCGACTTCTGGCAACACTTGCAATTCAGCACATTTAGAGGTATTATGCATGTACGAGCATACATGCATAGATATGAACTAGCATAGGTCCATACATACACACATACGCATGTATGTGTACATATGTGTTATGCATACACTCGTGTATGTGTGTCGTACAATTTCAATATGTGCCGGTATTTAGGAGTTTGCTTTTGATGAATTGCACTTTTCAAGCGATTTTCAGTTGTTTGTATGTATTTTCATCGTTTGTATCTACGCTGGGTATTTGCTTTGTTGTTGTCCGTGCCGTTGTTGTTGTCGTTGTCGTTGTCGTAACACCGTTACAATATTTTGGCCTCATTTTGATGATCAATTTTGTTGTTGTTGGTATTTCTTTGCGTTTTATGGCGAAAGCTTTTCTATCTCAGTCAACGCGCTGACGTTAAAACCAGTGTGTGCCGAAGGGGGAAAAGAGACAGCGAGATAAGTGTGGGACCTGTGTGGCTCATTTCCTAATTGCTTTCGTTGTTGTTTTAGCTTGTTTCTTATAAGTCTGTGCTACAATTGTTTTTATGCCCATTTGGGTTGCAGGCAATTTGTGTTGCAGCGCAATTTTACATTTGGTTGTTTTTTAGGGAGAAAATGTAAAGTGCAAGTCTTGTTTATGCGTTGTTCATTGAGCACAGTGCCGCCCCCATTGCAATGATTAAATGCATACACACACACACAGTTCCTCTCTCTCTCTCTCTCTAGAACTTCTCTTCATCTGCTCTGGAAACGATAAAACATGATTGTATTCAAATAGAACTAAGGCAGCGCGTGCTTTTGGTCTGCTCTGCTGATTGACGATAAAGCGACCGCTGCAATCGTGCCTGTCTGTCCCTTTGTCTATGCATCTGCCTTTCATGTGCTATCAATATTCACTCGTGTCGAGCTTTTACACACACGCACACATGCATAAGTGGCTGCAGATGTATGTGTGTATACATGCATATGTTGCGCTTTAGAATGACTCTTTTACTTATCCAATTCTGTTCCACCAATAGCAGCAGAGCATCAGCATTAAATTTCTGTTTTCTCCTTGGTTCAAGTGATTTCCAACACTTACATAAATATCCTGGCGTTGCCATACAGAACAAAAAAAAACGTGAATATCTCAAATGTCAGATACAGGTAAAAGACCCTGACAAGTTTGGGGCTTGGCAGCCAAACACGCTGGAAGGGGTGGGCGGGGGGGGGGGGGGGGTATGTGGGTTGATGGTTTTAATGATATAATGCTAATATGTGTGTCTGCCCACGTGGCACGTGGGCGTGGCGAACCAACGTGACAGTTACGTACATCAGTTGACGTCGATTTAGCTCACCATCGCGCTTCCTGAAGCCAGTCCTCCGTTAGTTTGTTTGTTGTTTTTTTAAAATTAGGTTAAAATACTTAATATGCGCGTGACGCGCCTTTCAACTTAGCTGCCTTTTAAAAACTTAATTCTATTTTTCCATGGGTTAAAGAAGTTAAAGATATCGTAATGTATAGAAATGTAGTTATCTTAATAAATTGAATGGGTTTCGAGTTTCCTTTAGCTATAAATATTCCTGCCAAAAAACATATATTTTAAAAATAATTTAATCAAGAAATACAACTAAATGCAGAGTTGCAAATTGAACAACCTGATATGCAAAATGTCACCGCAACGCGAATGCATTATTCATTTACAATTTTTTTCAAAATAAAAACAAATAAAACGAAATCGCGAACAGACTGTATGAACTGTGAGATACCCTACAACAAGATATCATAAGTCTAAATATGACTTTGTTTGCATAGTTATATATACAGTTGATAGAGCACAAGAACATTAGATTTGGTTTTTACTTCTTTTATTTTATTTAAAATTTTAACACAAATTTGATTTTATTCAAATCAAAAATAGCTCTCACGAAAAAGTTCTAGTTTTTTCCCCTAAAAACACACTAAGGCTTGTAAGCCTGGCAGTTCCCAGAATGAATCAACATAACCGAACTTTTTCATTTTCAAAAAATTTCCCTGCATGCGATATACCCCATTTGCTGCTGCCCAAACAAGTGGTATCGGTATGAACACAGACAAAAAAAAAAAAAACGGCTAAAATAAAAATTTAAGCTACAGCCGCTGCGGCTGCGGCCAGCAGGTTTCTGACTAATTCCCACACAATCCGCATGCCCGCCGCTGGCCGACCGCCGCCCGCTGCCATCAGCTTCAACTGGGTGACGTTGGCGCAAGAATGGAAGTGTTGAGAAGCGGTGGAATGAGAAAGAGGGAAAGAGTGGGGCGAGGGTCGACATGTTTAGAAATAAAAAGGCGGCAAAGAAATAAAATGCAATTTGTTTAAACAATAATGCTGGCCAATATAGCGACAAAAGCTATTTTCATCTATAAATATATATATATAGGCACGTGTGTGTGTGCGTGTGCGTCTGTATGTTGCTGCCTAACGGTATACGAATGCTTATATGTATGTACATACATACATGCATACATATGTATGCATGTATTTACTTGAATGGCTCGAGTGGCCACTTGAAACCGCATCCGAAATGAATTCAAGACGTGTTGGCGTGCTTTTAAAACTTTTTTATTTTGGTTGGTTTAATTCTTGAATTCTGCTATGGCTGCTAAGGTGGCCGTTAAGTTGGGCACGCACACACACACACACATAGCGCACATGTGCTGCACACACATGCGCATGCATGCCAACAGAAAAATGCACATGTATTTTTATGAATGAATCAGAGTGGAAATAAGTAGGCAAGTGCATGAATTACACACACACACATGTCTAGTGTGTCTAAAGTGTTGCCACTTAGACGAAATTCTAAAAATTGTAAATGCACTCACACAGCAACATTTGCAGCTAATGCATCACGACAATTAAATACATACAAATAGTCACATTTACGTATACACTCATGCATGCATACACACATGCACAGACTGCTAACAAACTACCCTACCATATGCAAGCATTTAATTATTGTCTACAATTTGATGGTGCCATTAATTAGCAACTATTCACAGCACACACACATGCAAGCATGCATTGTATGTGTGCTGTCTACGCAACAGCAAAAGCAACAGCTTTTTCTTTGGTATCAAGTGCTCAGCCTAAACGTATGCAGCACACTTTGACAAACTAGCTAATTACAGTGACGTCCAAAATAAGTGGATACGCTGTTTTGATGACAAAGCAAAGCCATAAATAGTTTAAAAAAAAATCTTATCTCGAATATTTTCCTATATATATTAAATTGTTGAGCTAATCACCAAAACAATTGCAATATTATTATTATATTTAGCTAAAATTGTTGACAGTCACCCATCTGTAAATGTTTTATATTCTTTTCGCGCATTTTCGCTGCACTTGTTCACAATGCCACGATTCAAGCGATTATCAAACGAATTTAAATAGTTGCTAGCTAAATACAAAGAGTCCAGTCATAAACGGCACTCGACCATTGCCCCAGCTCTGATATCTGTTGAATACATACCCATGCATACATACATATGTACCATATGTATGTTTGTTGTGTACATATATTTATGTAATGATTATAAAGATAGTCATGCAGTCAAGTCCAGTGGACTGGCAGCAAATCCCGGTGTTTTTTATTTTCACGTGCTATTAGCAGCCATTTCAGCTCCTATCCGCACCATATAAAAACCAATCTAATCAAAATTGCAGTTAACAGTAGATTTGTTCCAAGTACATGGAGGAGGGCAATCCATTAAATACCTAACATATATAAAATGTGTGCAGATATTTTGTTTGACACTGTGTATAATGCATTATTTTGTTATACATAAAATCCAACAAATATCCGATTAGACTCCACTTTATCTGAATCTGAATCTGTGGAGTATATTCAAAGGCAATACAACAACAACAACTATACAGTTATCTCAATGGCACATAACGTATGTGTGTGTGTTTGTTTGTGCGTGGGAATTGCAGGAAGCTGTTATTAACATTATCGGTCTGTTATATTATATTTATAGCTGTTAACACACACTAAAATATGTTTAACATGAAACTTTAAACATTTTCTCTTGCAGCTGTTAAAAATAACTGATCAAAATGTTAGCTAGCATCTAAAGTAGACAAATTCTTGGCGGTACAGTTTACGGTCTTGCGTTTTCGTAGAGTTCGTGTTCTGATCCTTGACATTTTTTCTGTATAGAGCATATCAGCTAATAAGATTAAGATCCAATCGATCGAAATTAGTTGATTTACATGCTCAATTTTTGCAATATTTAAAATTAAAAACTAAAAAGTTTTATCTTATAAGTGAAAAATAATTCGATTCAAGTTTTGTATCGGTTCGGTTCATATTAAAAGAAAAAAATTTTTTGGATTTGAACTGGCTTGCAGCCTTGGTTAGCAGCTATCATGTTAATATATTTCATATACGATGAACGGAATCTGGCGTCGGATTCGTTCCATTATGCCAATTATTGCAATCTGAACTCAAGCATTTATATTAAAAGTTATTTAACTCAGTCGCAAGCATAAAAAGCTTGGGCCCAATAATTGGATCTGTCTAACAATATTTGCTAGATGCCAATTTTTAGTGGAGTTCAAATATAGCCCACAATTTCTATAAGAAAATATATACGACTGGCAATATTTTCGGCAGAACGGGCAAAATTATAATTTAGAATTGAAATGGTTTCTTAAAATATTGTAAATATATGAAACAGCAGGGCTTAAAACATAACCTGGCTTGATGAACGTGTAAAGACAAGGTGACGCACCGGAGGAGTTAGTTTGAACCGTGAATCGAACCAGTGTTTTTTTAAAAATATTTTTTGTGTGGAGTATAATGTCGGACAATAAAATAATGTGAATTGTGCCATTATAAATATGTGAAAGCCGAGTTTCTAGACATTGGAAATCCGCTTTACGAACCGAACCTTCAGCCAAGACGCTGGTTCAAACCGTGAATCGAACCAACATAAATAGCTGTTGCGCTGGCAGCCATGATGTAAATTAACCTCAAGCTGTTATTTAGCAATAAAAAGCAATTGTTTATTGAAGTGTGCAAATGGGTAGGGCCTCGGATATACTTATATGTATGTAAAGTACAATAAAAAATTCTCGCATGTGCTAATATTAAATTGGCTGCCCTTTTATTTGTGTGGTGTCTTTAAATATAAATAACAATAGAAGTAGTTAAAAAAAAAGTCGTAACAAACGCTAAGAAAAAAAAAATGAAAAAAAAAAACAGTCTTAATCGATTAGTCAAGTGCATTATCAAGCTAAATACATGTACCGGGAACTCGGAATGTTGATGGGCGATCTACTCATTGGCCCGTAGTTGTCATGACATTGATCAGGCCTGGAAATACCTCTGCCTGAATGGGTCCATAGTCGACGCGTTCGCCGTCAATGGTTAAAATGCCGTTGGAGCCGCTTGGCTCAATGCGAAACGCTCGCACGGGCAACACCTGGATATGGGGATCCTCCTCCACGGGCAGATGCGTGCCATTGTGCATGCTGAGCAGAAAATTGAGCAGTTGAGAGCGTCCGACGCCGGCTCGTATGACCACCAGATAGATGAGGCCATCGTTCAAGCGTGAGTCCGGCGCAAAGAAGCAATCGGATGCCAGATGCGTTGTGTATGCCGCATGCACCATCACGAACTCCCCCGACTCCGATAGCCAGCCATCGGCGGCGGGCAGCGGCAGCTGTAATCCGGGCATTGTGCTCGCCGGCACCAGCTGACTGAACTCGGCATTGGCCGCTTCAATGCGCTGGGCCACACTCAGCCGGCTGCGGTTGGAGCGTGTACTCTGTCCGCCCACCGAGTAGTAGGCGGTGCGGCGCGACACCGCCGAGTGCCAGCTGTCCCCATTCTGGCGATAGACGCTGCGATCCATGGACAGCGCGTCGGCAAACTGATCCGAATCGGATTCATGTGCGCGCAGCTGTACATCCGACTCATCGGGCAAATCTTTGAATTCGCTAAACGCTCGCGTCGCCACAGTATGTGGCTCAACTGTTTCCACAGGCGATTCTGGCGCGGATTCGATTGCTGTTTCTGCTTCCGCTGCTGCTTCCGCTGCGTGCTCGGTGTGCTTTGTGCTTGCCGGCAGATAGAAGAGCTTGCCCGGATAGCAGCGCAGCGTGATGAGCCGCCGGATGGCCCACAGTGTAAACCGTTGGGCGCCAATCGAGCGCAACCTTTCGCTCTCAATATCAATGTCGGCGATGAGGCCCCAGCCGATCGATAGGAACGAGTACATCACAAAGTGCTTATCCCGATGATTTAGCTCCACGCGCACCACATCCATCGGCGTTGCCCGGCCGGTCATGCAGATGAGCGTGGCATGGAGTATGGGTTTCGGTTCGTATGGCTCGTTGCAGTGATGGGCAATGCTCTTGGCCAGTCCGTTGCCGGAGCCGCAGGGTATGATGCCCAGCGAGAGTTCACGGCAGGCACGTCGCCAATCCATGCGCTCCATCAGACCGTTGAGCACCTCGTAGAAGAGGCCATCGCCGGAGGCGACCACAATACCCGCATAACGCTCCAGCAGATCCTTGCGGGAGCGCACATACTCCTGGGCATAGTGTGGATGCGTTGTGATCTGCAGATCGTATTGGGCCTCCGCTTCACGCAGCAATGGCGCCACCTGTTTCTGGAACTGTTCGCGTCCCTTGCCCGAGCCCGACTTGGGATTCAACAATATGAGCAACTTTTTGCCCGGATCTCTGGCCCGATCGCCCGCCGCACGCTGTTTGTGCTCCCGTATCGTGTGATGCCAGAGCCGCGCAGTATTCAGATTTTCGGCATAGTGATCGCTCGTCCGGAATCGCAAGATGCGCAATGTCTGCACACGACGCAGCGGTTTCTCCTTCTTCAGATAGGCATAGATGTACAGATAGGCGCTGTTATCCGCTTGCGTTTGCCCCGGCTGCCGGCGTTTCGAGGATTTCTGCTGCTCCCGCTGCTGCTGCTGCTGCTGCTGTTCCTCCTCCTCGTCAGCCGCCTCCTGCGGCTCGTGGTTGGCACTCTTGCAGGAGTTGAGGCCGCCGCGTGCACGCTTCTTTAGCCGCTTGCCATAACTGGAGCCAACGATGTCATCGATCCGTATCAGCTGCTCATTGATGTGATCATTCTCAGCTGTCTCGCGCCTCAAATAGATGCCATCTGGACAGAGCTTCACCATGATTTTGATATTCTGTTTGCGTCGCCGATTCTCCACATAGAATATACCGATTAGCTCCGACTGCGGAGCAATCGCTTCCCCGGACTCTGTTGTCATTCCCGGCTTCAGCTGATGTTGCAGCACCGGCTCCAGCTCCGATTCCGGCTCCGTCTCCGTCGCCGTCTCCGACTGTTGTCTGTCGGGTCGCTGAACTGGGTTGGCTGTCATGGCGCTGTTTTGGCCGTCTCCGTTGGCACACCCCGCCCACCAACTTGTTGTGTTAATGGAGCTTTTACCAGCTTAAAGCCACATGCAACAACAATAAAAACAATGTAATTAATGAGCAGCGTTTAAAGTAAACTTTGGGCTGCCAAACTCTTATATACCCTCGCACACGGAGCTGGCCTGATTTTCCTAGGATATCCATATAATAGATATATATGTATATTCATTTATTATCTATTCTTGATATTTTGTAGCGTTATGTTATGTTTCTCGTAGTTCTTGATCAAGAAATCTTTTACAACAGAAAAGTTGTTCAGACAAAATTGCAACTTTCATAATATCGAAAAATCATAAATTATTTGTAGTCGAGTTTTCCTACACATTTTATATATCCATAAAAACAGCGAAGCTTTCACAAGATATTATATGTTATATTGTAGATATGTAGGATTTATGCAGAATTTTGTTGAGTTAGTCTTAGAACGGGAAACACATTTATAAATGTCCATATGAACGAATCACTTTACTATAATCAGGCATAAATGTTCATACTTAATGAATGATCGATGAGGGCCTAACGTCTCGCTAACGTTCCTCGGCCTATGGATAATGCATTGATAAATAACACGGGTATTATAAGCGCGATCTTTTCGGGGTTACAAAGGGGTTACAAATTCGAACAGAAAGATAAAGATTCTGGATCGGTATATACTATGAAAGAGCCTACATACTGATCAGCTACTTGCTCGAGTTCTGATAAGCTTTGCGATATGTTGAAATATCATACACTGACAATCGATACTTATCGGTTTCATGGAAAACTGCTTAGCTATCGATGATTTTCAATTAACTTACAACAGAGTGTGGGAGCTTTAGCTCTGTTTATTGAATTTATTGGTGCTTGGTGGACTTACAGATTGCCTTCTGTTACATACACAAGCACAAAACCAGAATACCCATTTTGAGCCCATTTTGAATGGGTTAGGGTATAAGAAGCACACAAATACAGCCTTGGGTCTGCGTCGCCTTGCTTTGTTTTGTTTTGTTTTCACTTACTCAATTATTACCTCTTTTAAAAGTTGTTGTTGTTGATGTTGATGTTGTTGTTTTTTGTGCGCGTTTCGATATTTGTAGTTTTTGTTTTTTCTTTCTTATTTTTGTTTTTTATTAGTCCGCTGTTCGCTCCTGTGCGCTCGACTCCACGTATCTCCGCGTACTGAGTGAACTAACCTTATTTCGAATGGAACGAATGAGCACGGAGATTGGCGCTTTGCGATTTGATTTCACTTGTCTCGCACACACAAACACACGCACGCACACCTCAAATTTTGTTGTGTGTGTGTGTTTGGTGTTTCGAAATCTAATCAACACGTATCGTATCGTGTCGTATCGTATCGTATAGTATCGATGTTGTGTGTATTATGCCTAGCTCATAACTGTATTGTCGCACATATGTACCTGCATTTAGTTATATATGTATATGTATACTATATATCTCTAACGCATTTGTTGCTCTTCTTCCACTCTCCCACTCTCCCACTCTCTCTCTCTCTCTCTCTCTCTCTGTTTGGCTGCATGTAAATTTAATGCGCTCCCAGCTCGACGGCATTGAACCACTTTTGCTAACTGACTTCGACTTTGAATTTTGTGCATATGCAATTTATATCCGAGGCAGGCCTTCCCATAATCCCACCCCTACCCCTGTGACCCACACACTATATGTTGTTTTTTTTTTTTTTTTATAAGTCATCATCAACAGCTTGTATTTAGTGTTTCGGATTTTGTATACATCATTTTTGGTTTTGCTTTGTTTGTGTGCAAATTTGAATGTGCACTCTGTTTCCACTTGGTTTCACTCACGGAAGCGTTTTTTTAGTTTTTTTTGGGAGGGGAATCTCTTGATTAATCTAAACATGACAAGTTTTGAGTCCGGTTTAGGCAAATAACAACAAAAGCAGCAAATGTGCAATTGTTGGCTCAACTAGCAGCTACCCTGTAACCAATGCATATGCTATACCATTCCCAGTATTTCCCAGTTGTATGTATCTTATCATCTGAACATGTTTAGCAAATGCTCCAAAATGATTCAAAGAAAATTCTTCAATGATTTTATTAATACGTATTTTGACAGCTTATCTAAACGTTGACAATATGATTAATATGACTGCAAAATGAAATGAATTTTGTTGTACTGCCTTTTATCACTTCTGATGACGTTTACTCTCTAAAAAAATAAACTGCTTAACATACAAAAATAAAGGCAACCACAGTTAGGTACCTAAATAAAATTTGAAATCGGTTCAAGTAACATTTTTCGTCAATATATCCAAATAAAATGCAATAACAAAGTCGTGTGCGCAACGGGGACTTTACTATTTTTACGAGATGCACACGAAAATCACTTAAATTTTCCGCCTTAGCACACATTCGATAGCTTCCACCTGTTACTTTAACGCTATTGTTAATAAAGTGCCTTACAAACAATAAACTTAAAAATTAATTTGCATTTTCCTTTGTTTTTCTTCAACTTAAAAACGTACGACTCTTATATGCATAGAACATTTTCCCCTGATGCTAAATATATAAAATACAAATTCTCAAGATCTTTAATCGATTTGCGAGATAGCCGTACACAGGCCAATTATTTCTAAAAAAAAAATAGTTTTCGGGCTAGAGTTACAGAAAAATAAAGTGAAATTAAATAAGGAGTGAGAGAGGAAAAAGCGCGAGAGAGAGAGAGAGAGAGTGAGAGCAATATAGAGATAGAGTGAAAGGTAGTTAACTAGGGAGAGGACAGATAAAGTTGATTAGATTAACACTTTTACTGAAAGCATGAAAAATGGGAAGAATTACTTGCATTCATGAGAATCGCCTAGGAGGGCTATTATAAATTAGCTTTTATTTACCTTGACAGAGAACATACTTATGTACACACGCATACACACCTAGTGACATACATATAAACATACATATATACAACCACACATACATATACATACGTACATACATACATATACATACATACGCACATACATATACAAAAATACAGATACATACATACATGCATACATATACATACGTACATACATACATATACATGCGTAGATATATACATACATACATACATACATATAAACATACATACATACATATATACATACATACATATATACATACATACATATATACATACATACATATATACAGACATATATACATACATACACATATACATACATATATACATACATACATATATATATATATATATATATATATATATATATATATATATATATATATATATATATATATATATATATATATACAAATATACATACATACATATATATATATACATACATACATATATATATATACACACACATATATATATATATATATACATACACATACATACATATATATATATGTATACATACATACACATACACATACATACATATATACAAATACATACATACAAAAACACAAGCATATACCTCTATATGAACATAACACAATTTTTCACAAAAAAAAAAAAACAAAACACCACTAAAACAAACGAGACCTTCCTTGCTTACTTGAATTAATGAGAATCGAGGAGGAGGGCATCACTTAAAAGTAAGTTCCTTTTAAATTAGTAACGCTGGGAGAATAACTTTATGTTCAGCTGCTACATAAACGTTTCCATACATGCATACATACACACACACATCCATGCATACATACATATATGCATACATACACAACCACATATGCATATATACGTATGTAGAAAACCTGCAAATATGACTTGAATTCATGAGTATTTCATTTGAATTTCCCCACAAAAATGTAAATAACAATTGATCTGTTTTTGATGTAAGACACACATAATACGTACATACATACATACCTAAAGTAATGTAAAGTAAACCTGATCTGCGTTTCTTATAAGAGAACTTAAAGTTGCAATCAACACTTTTTCTCCCATTACTTTATCTAGTATATAAATATAAGCTTGATCGGACAGAACTTACCAATACTGCCCGATTCCTCAATATCCTGCCATACAGGTGGATGGATTTGTCGAAATTTGCGAAGTATGTTTTTTATGAATTTTTTAATTCAATGTCTGAAAATGGACTTGAGTCAGAATGCAGAACAAACAATTTGTGTTTCAGAAAACAATTTTCATCGCATTTTCCAAGCATTGGCTTGCCTTTGTTTTAGGTGTCGCCCTCTGTCACCCATTGTATAGGGTATTATAACGCCCCATATTCCATATTTCGGTTCCCCAGAAAGTAGCGTAGCCCCCATTCATTGCATTGTGTGGCTGTCAACAAGCGTGCAATTGTTTTAAGCGAACTATGTTACGTATACGAGGTGTTGTGTTGGCGGTGTTGGGTCATAAGGCACATCGATAAGCATGAACTTACCTAACGCATGTTAGTCCACCTATTCTGTTTGTTTTCTGTTTTCTACGTCTCTTTTAATGTATCGCCAGATAAGTACATTCTTTTAGTCTACTGCGTGTAAATCGATATCAAAGCATATATATCATTCTTTTTATTTACTTACTTGCTTTTTTTCTTTCACTGCTTAGTTAAATTGATAAGAACCCGGTTGTAGTTGCTTAGTTTTAGATAAATATTTTGAATGAATCCAAATGAACACTATTTACCCAAATAGTTAAACTGGCTTACCTCAAATTTCCACATAAGGGTTCTAACGGGCTCAAAGTCCTTGACTTGCCTTGAATTTAAGAAGAGAGCTCTTTAGTTACTTTAAATTCTTGGCTGAAGATCTAATCTGGGGATTTGAGCTGCGGCATACCGCTTTTCATAGACAATACCGAACTGGTGCTCCAACCCGCTAACCGTGTAGCCTGTTTAATGTAGTTAGAGTTTGTGTTGGTGCTAGTTAGTTTAAGTGTTGTTTTAAGGGTCTTTCTACTTACAAATGGTTGATTGAATGATGCGTTGAAGTTGTACATATGTATATTACAGGCTGAACAAGGCATCTTCGATCCCATAGAGTACTTAAATTCTTGAAGAGGACGTTAAGCCAAGTCAATGTGTGTCTGTATTGTGGTTTATTTAATCGGTATATTGTCAAATGCTGCGCTTCAGTTGAGTTCCCGCGCAAATTAACTACTACGTTGAATTTTTAAATAACGCCCCTCTATGCGATTTTCATGAATTCAAGTATGATCGTCGCTCACAATATTTCATTCACTCTCTTGGGTTGAGCATCGTCTCATGCCCACTTTCTTTGTCACAGCTCTCTTCAATCTCTCTCCCTCCTCTCTCGCTCTTACTTTCATTCTTTACAGCAGGCCACATCCATTGTTAAACAGAAATACAAGATTATATATGCAGGCATCTTAAGCAGTTACTTATAATATTTGCAGATGATTTCGCGCTTATCGAGCTATAAAAACGTGCAAAGCGGTCAGGGACACGCTTCTTGCGCAATCTGATCGCCCACTCCATGCTAATGTGGACCATGCAGAGAGAGAGAGACAGAGTCGATAAACTAAGAAATATGTAGATAACTTGAAATGTTTGTATGTGCATATGTGGGCATATGTATGTACAGTTGTTGTTTGTGTCAGCGTAAAAGCCCAGACAGGTTTTTTCTTCTGTTTTGTTTTGCTTTGATCCATTTCTTTTTGGGGGCGCACAACTTATAAACAATACAAGTCAAACTTTAACTTAGTCGCCAGCATTGTTTGCATTAAATTGTGTGAATATGGCTCACAGGCTGCCTATACTTTTCAGATGGCTTTCCATTATCGTGATCGGGGGGTTGGCTGGCAATGCTTGAAGTCAGTTCTGGTTGACATCAGTCAGTCTGGTGTTTCGATAAGTCTTGCGCTTAACTTGTCAAATTCATTTATTTCTATATGTGCCTGCATAGGATGTCCAATTCCGAATGATAACAATAATTGTTAATTATCAATGCGTGTTGTCTTTGCATTTGATTACAGAGCGAACAGAGCTGCGACGATGAGCTGAGCTGCGCTTAGCTATGCATTCACAAAGCTATCGTTGAGATCTCACCCCACAGGGACACATCGCTGAAGTACACCGTCAGAGAACAAAACAACACAC